GTCAGTCTGGCAGGAAGAGCTTCTGGAGAACATAAAGATGGAGATACTTGTACCCAGAGTACCAAGCCACTGCTCAGTCTCCAAGTGTAGCTAGTGCTGGCTAAGAGACAAAGGTTGTAAAAGCAGGGCAGGCATACAATTAAACTTCACCTGGTATGATCTCCCAGCTTCCTAATCTGATGGCAAGAGATTTCTTGGGCAAGAGTTTGTATCCTGTTGTTTAATAATTTGGGCTGGGTTTTCTACATGGACTTGTCAACCCACCTGGACCTTTGGAATTCGTAACACTTGGCAGTGAGTTCCATGGCTTAATTAAACAGTATGGGGAAAAAAATATTTGTTTTTGCTTGTTTTAATCCTGCTGTCATCTTATCTTGTGTCTTAATTGACAATTTGCTGTTCCTGAGGTATTCTACAAAGCGAATGAACATTCCCAATCCTGTTCTCTATGACTGAAGTGATTTTATAGAGCTCTGTGACATTCCCTCCCCATTGTCTCTCTTTCCACACTAAACAGTCCCTTAAAATCCTTGAAAAAGAAATTGTTGAAGGCAGTTTTGAAAGGCTTTGGTGCAGGACTTTTCCCAGGGAAGTGCTGAGCATTTCTAAGTCTCCTGTACAATGTTGTCACCCACCTGTACTGTACTGGTTCAGTACAAAACCACCCTGGACTCTGCTGGAAACCTTCTGGGTAGGACCCATAAGTGCAAAAGATGTTTATTTAGACTTATTCTGGCTGTACCATGTACAGGAGTCTGGAGCACCCTGCAGGAAGGGTTCAGCCTGCCAGCTGAACAGGGCTGGGCATTGAGGCAGCTCCTATTCGTGATCCTGCATCTCACTGCATCCGGAATTTGTCCTGAGCAGATGGTTGACACGTGGCCACTGTCCATCTGCTGATGTGTAGCGCTGGGCCAGAAAGGGGCTCCATGACTTCTGCTCCAGGGTACATTGTTAGCAGCCTTTCTGGGGAGTGAAGGAAACGCACCTCTCTGTGGAGCGGGCAGGTTGAAACCAAGCTGTAATATTGGATCACTTGCTACAGCACATGGATATAAAAAGGTTGGGATTAAGAGGCAATATATTTCAAAAGAAATTAGCTAGCAAGACATGCACATTTAACGTTTATGGTTGGAAGATTAAGACACCGAGCCGTAACTCAGGATATCTGGGTTAAATCCCAGCTCTGCCAAAGACTTCTCAGAACATGCTGGGCAGGTCGTGTAAGGCAATGCTTTCAGAAAGGACTTAGGAGCTTAAATCCAATTGACTTCCAGTAACTTCCTAAGTGTTTAAGGATGGGATTCACAAAAAAATCTGAGGCATCCTGGTGCTCAGCATTGCAGCAGCAGCTAGCGTATGCCACAAAACTTGGGCAGAGCGGTGTGCGCGTTGGGAAGGCACTTCAGTACGGGAGGAGGCCTCTAGGTGACAACCTGGGCCACCTGCAGTCTGTGAGCTCATACAGGGCCTGCAGTGGCTCTGCACCTCCTACAATGGCACTCTGGTCCTAATGACAGTCTCTAGGTGCAACCTCAGCACAAATACATACTAATAAGTGTCTAAGTAGATAGATCCTGTAAGAGCATTTATATCGGCTCCCTAAGGTATGAATACTAATACCAACAATCATGAAAAGATTTTGCATATTTTAAATTAAACAAGCTTCGGTCTTTAGAATTAGACAGTCAGGGCTGTGTTTCCAACCAGTAAAGCACAATGACACATTCATTTGCTGGTTGAGCACGTGCCTGCTGGGCAGCTGGATGTACAGCAAGCTAATGAGGGAAACCGCTGCGTGCAGGGACGCTGCTCACCTCTGCAGCTGCAAACCTGCAGCTGGCTGTCCCACTCCTTTCAAAGAGCAACCCTAAAGTTCCTTTTCCCTCTTTTAAACCTTTATTAAGCCTGTCTGGAAACTGTGCTTGTTTAATCTCCTGCCAGGATTACAGATGGTAGCAGCCAATTTGATAAGGCCCTTTGAGACCAGCTGTGGCCTGGAAGAAGCTTGAGAGTTCCTCAAGTACCGTGTCAGGTGGGCTCTGAGACCGTCCCAGACCTTTGCTTAGTAATTATCCACCCTGGAAATGATGGATAGAGTTTTTGTTAAGGGTCCTTATTAACTGGGTACTTGTGAGCATCAAGAGCCTGCTCCAGTGAGTCCCTCACCTGCATGAAATGGGTGCAGCGCCGTCCCTGGGGAAGGAGCCCCGTGCTCCAGCAAGCAGTGTGGGCGTCTGGCTCACCTCCTCTCTGCTTCCATGTCATGCAGCCTCTTACTCGCTTTTGCCTCTTTGGGACACGCAGCCTGCTTCAGAGGCACTAGCTGCCTCCAGTGTGCTGCAAAAGGACAATTTCATAATGAATGAGGGCAATTTGCTAAGTGGGGTCCTGGAGCCCAGCTGTAATTGTGCTGCTGCTTTATCTCAGCCTCACACCTGCTTGTGTAATGGCCTGGCTGTGATCTGCTCCCTCCCCCAAACGCGTGCTCTACCCTTCTGCTCATGGAGGAGCCATCAATTCTCTGACCCTGGTGCAGTCCTTCCCCTTGCTGCCCTGGCCTGGAGCCCGCGGGGGCGCACAGATTTCCCCTCGAGCTGCAGCAGGGCCACTGGGCTGGCTTTAATGGACGTGACTGCTAACCTGGCTTTCCTCTTCTTAATAACAGGATTTTAAATGAAATCCTTCTGCCCAAAAAATTCCTCAAGACAGCTTTCTTCAAATGGTATTTCTTTAGATAACTTAGTCACATAATAATATTGTATATATTATTCCTGCCAGAGGGAGTAAGTGCAGCTTCATTTTTCCTGCATGTATTCAGTAGTGGTGAAAATGGTTGGATTGACAGTGTAGGCAATTAAAAGCTTTTGAAATCCAGAGCAGGTGGAATTCTCTCCAATTTATATGCAGTCTTACTATAAATGTACCTTACATGGGATTCAGGCCGATGAACTCCCAATTCCGTGCTTTAACCTCTAGAGGATCTTACCATCTTAATGACAGGTGGACTAGTGATCTTGGCTGGTGTTCTGTAAAGGGTACATCCCGTTAATAGAGGATGTAGGGTAGTGGAAGAGGTACAGAAAGCCCCAGCTTGACCTCATGTAGCAAATTCTCTGGATTTTTTTCTTCCCTTAGGGATCTCATAGCCCAACATGCTTCTCCTGGCCACCTTAAGTCTCTTCCCTTTAACAGTCTCTCTCTTTGACAGACAAACTTCACAGAAGGGTAGAAATCCCTCTGTCTTGAACATGAGTCCCCTGAGACATCTGTTGTCCTGTAGGTGCTTCTTTCTTTATACTAGTCTGAAACAAGAATCCCTAAATTCAGTGAAGTGAGAGAGAAAAGAAGAAAGGGATGGGGAGGAGAGAAAAACCCTCTTTCTCTTGAGACGGGAATGTCAATAGGTTTGAATTATGGACCTGCTGTAATTAAAAAACACATAACTAGTTGTTTTTAAATGCAGTTGTTTTGCTTAATTGATTTCGCCGCCAGGACCAAATGGAATTAAATAAATAAATAAAGGCACCTTCCTAGTGAATTATTGGAGGCAGCTGAGTCTCTGTTGGAATCTAATTGCTGCAAACGCTCCCGTTTGTTGCTACCAATGGGGTTCTGTGGCAGGGGCTGGGAGAGAAGGGGTACGGTGGTGTGGGAGGGGGCTCATTCCCTGGCAGCTGCAGGAGGGAACAGGCTGCTCCTCGTGTAGTGTTTTTCCCCCTTATCAGCAAAAAGAGTATTCGTTTAACACTTTGCATCAAGACTTTGCTTAGAAAGTCTTTATTCATATTTAATTACTAGCTCGCTGCAGCTCCCATCTTTAATTACCTTTTAAAAAGCAGGTTGTAAAAATGCACTGACATTCTTTCCTTTTTGTTGCTGCATAAATTACAGGCTTCTCAGCTGCTCACTCGAGATCAGTCCATCCCAAGGAGATGGTGGGGAAGGTTCCCTTTGCTGAGTCTTCTGGAAACCTTAGTGCTTGTCTGCACCTCGCTATACAGAGCAGGACAGGAACCCTTGACCAGCATTACGTGAACTAGCTCTGTGCCAGAAGCAGCACCATAACCGTGTTGGCACCCCCTCTGGGCTTAAATGTGCTGAGGGGCCTGGCTAGTCAGCCAGGGGGATATCACACTACGGTGGTGATAGTGTTTTCAGGGTGGCATTATGCAAGGCAGACAGACCTTTGCCTGTCTTCTTTTGCCTCACCTGCATCTGTCTAGGTTTTTTGTTCCTGAGCATCCCCCTGGTGAATCTACTTCCTAATCTGCAGTTTTCCATATAGTCTAGTCCTGAGTTACACACCCAGAGCCACTGATACTTTCCTCTCTGGCCCACAAAGTGCTTTGCTGGCCCCATCTGGTAGTTTTTCTGAGCAGAGATTGCTGATTGATTTCTTTTGAGGCATGAGAAAGTCCATCACGTAAAACATATTTTCAGGCCAAGTGACAGGTGTAAACTGCAATAGGTGTAAACTCATTTTTTGAATCCAACAAGTCCAGCTTCTGGTCGTGTGCTGGCTTTCACCATGTAAGCTGGCTGACGTTGCTGTAATGGGTGGGAGTGTGCACCGTGGTGTTTCAGGAGGGTGATGGTGGGTGGTATTAAATAGCTGCAAAAGAATGACACAAAAGGCACAGCTGGAGGCTGCTGCACCCAGTCATAGCCAAGGATACTGACCATAATCGCTCCAACCTGTTTTAAGGACAGCATGGAGGGGTACCTGAGATGCTGCCTGGCCACTCCATGTCCTAGATGAAATGTGCTGCTGGGGCTCTGATGCAGGTTTCCACAAGCAGAATATCTTCAAGGCACTTCCTTAGTGAGCTTCCATGGGAAGCCAAGCAATGACAGGGCTCAGGCAGGGGGCACAGGCAGGATGAAAGGGCTGAGCCTGTCCAGCTTTGGTGCATGCTGTTACTGGCCTGTGGTCAGGGCTTTCCTGAAGGATAGTTTCTGGCACCCCAAGCTAATGCCTTTTTCTCTTTTCCTGACAGATAAAAGAGCTCTTCCTGAGTTTTGAGGACACACCCCTGGGAGCAGCGTCACTAGCCCAGGTGCACAAGGCGGTGCTGCAGGATGGGAGAACAGTGGCAGTGAAAATCCAGCACCCGAAGGTCCAAGCTCAGAGCTCCAAGGACATTTTGCTCATGGAGGTAAAGCTACACATTGACTTTGACTTACAGAGCAGTTGCCATGCAAATGTGTGGGTATGTGTTCACCCAAAGTGTGATGAGCTATAAAAACAGCATCCTGTAGCTCTGAAACCTGCACAGGGATAAGTGCTCTCTTACAGGAATAATACAGAAAGTTGGTGAAGACTGCAGTAAGGGCAATTGTGTGAATGGAGAGACTGAACAAGAGCGTAAGAGTGAGGGAGGGCTGAAGAGATGACTGGAGAGCATGAAAGACATCTGAATAAGTTCTGAGATTTAAAAATCAGTCAGCCCCAAATGTCTCTCTACTGCCAGTGTGCCCATTAGCTGGTAGATTAAACTGGTCTCAGTTCTCCTTGCAGTGAGGTCTGTGTAAACAAGGAAAAGCGGCGAGCATGTTTTTCAGTTAAATTTCAGAATGGCTTCAACAGTGACTGGGGTTACTGTGATTGGTTCTGTTTCTTGATCAACCTCTAAAGCTGACCTGACTCACGCTGGAAACAAAACCGCTGAAATATGGAGAGGGTCACATAACAGGGGCAGACAAATGAGGGATACAGCTGGGAAGTAGTTCCTCTCCTGAAAGGTGGGTATCACTCATGTTCCTAGTGCAATTCTTTAGCTTCTCCCAAACTTCTGAAGCCCAGCCTGTTGGAGGGAGGAACTGGGGAAAAGCTGTGGCACTGCACTGCATCCAAATAGTCAGAGATGCCAGTGGTATGGTAGGGAACAGAAATAGAGATGGAGCTGAGGTGGAGAACAGGGGAGTGATTAGGTCTGTAAGTGATAATACCGATGCTTTTAGCTCTCATAGTAAGCACACATATGCAGTATGTGTAGCACCAATATACAGTAATACGCACATCTATTGACAGTCATTATGTCCGTGGGATTAAAGAGAGGAAGGTGGAGTTCAGGAAGTCTGATAAGTGTTCCGAGGGTACTGCTGATGCAACGACACAGAGTTCTGCATCACAAGAGATCAGGAATCAAAGATCCTGACAGCATCCTCTCAGAGCAGTGCATAACTAAAGCTTCTTAGGCAGCTGAAACACCCTGCTCTGAGCAATACTGGCTAGTCTGCAAAGCAGCACAGCTGGTTCCAGCTAGAGCACATCAAATTCTAGCAGAACATTTACGTTGAACTGGTAGTAACATAAATTTTGAGGTTCAATTAAGTTATTCCATTGATATGGGGTACATCTGTTTCAGTGCTAGTTTGAGAAAAGAGTACTGTTTGAACTGGCTTTGGGTCCAGCTGCAGGTTGGATTGGATCAGATCCTCTCCAGAACTGACTGCAGTGGGCTGCCCGATGAGTTTGCTTTTGAGAGTTGTCACATGCATAGCAATTCTCAGGGGGCTTATGGCATTCTTCAGTCCTGCTTGGGATGGGATAGCAGACACTGAGCAGCTGAGGATGAACCAGGTATTGAAAGACTAATATCAGGGCAATAAGAGGATTGTGGATGAATGAAGCAGGACCCAGGTTGACCTTGAGATGTTTGTGCTTTTAACAGGGGATATCAGAGGAAAATTCTCCCTTCGTTCTATGATGCTCTGATTGGTGGCTATACTGTTAAGAGACATTCAGACAAATAATTTTACAATGATTCCTGCCTTTTCTGGTTTTAGACTAATCGTCCTGGGAAACTTTAAACTAAAGGTGTATTTCCTTTTGGCAATTCAATATTGTTCTTGCTTTACAGACATTCTGTTTTGCCATACTGGAGATTTGTTGTATGCACACAGTTATGCGACAGTAGCTCACAACACGACACATACAGCCTTGTTTATAAAGGTTCTCCTGCGGACTCTTGGTTTACATGCATCATCATATCCTTGTATGGAACTATGTTTGTGTAGGCTTCACTTAAGGACAGGTTATGTCCACTGAGGTTCTGGTCCTTCAAGAATCAGACAGCCATTGCAGCTAGGTAGGAGGTTAATTTAAATACTTGTGGAGGTAGTCGTCTTTAGAGATTGATGGGAAGGAATCTGACTGGGAAAACCTAGGTGGAAAATTCCTAAATTCACTTGAGGTTTCATGACGTCAGTGCTGACTCTTTAAAAATCAGGACAGCATCTGATAAATCCAGAGAGAGATCCCTCGCTGCTCTTATATCAATACTTGTTTCAGGACAATACGTTAGATGTCAGAAAAGTGACAGGCCAAATACTTTTTAAGTATGTCACTGCTGATGATCAAGTTGGCAAATTGATTCAAAAAAGCATTTAAAGAAAGCGAAAAACAACGTATGAATTTTCTCACATCAAGCACCGATAAAATAATCCTGCAGCCCTTATAAAGTTTATATACATCTTCATGAAGATCACTGGTTACATTTCATTTGGGTGACATAAATTTGAAAGGATTTATGCCTCTAGATATAATAGTAGAAAAATCATTCAATAGTGTCTGGAACCTGGTGATTACATTTTAAAGGAACATTGAGTTTGGTACTGACATTTAGATAAGAGAAGTAGAGACAGAGGTGGAGAATAAATGTTTTTGCACAGCTGAACAGGAGCAGTGATGGTTCATGAATTTATTTTTTGTCATACATTTCAATGACAAGAGCTTTCTGTAGATGTGTTTTAATGTTCCTCCTGCAGTCCAGGAGTCCTCACCTCAGTGGTGGAGATCTAGAAAGGGAAACTGTCCGGGAACACACACTGATAAGTTGGTTTTCATTTTCAGATGGACATATAAGTAAGATAAAGACAGCAAAGTAGATTGTGCTTTAATGACTCCAGTAGTTAAAAAAACCGACAGATTATTTTCCTTAATACATGGTCCAAATTGCCAACTTTTGTAGATTTGTGACACTGGCAGAGAAACTGGCCCTTTATTTGAATAGAAAGCATGCTTGGCTGCTGTGCAGCTTTGTTTATGCCATCCAGCCACATAATCTTGAATTGCTTCAGGAAGAACTGTCTGTCACTTGCCCCTTTATTAAATCTTGCTGTAAACAAACATTTCCAGAAACTTTTTGTCTGGTCTTTTCAAAGCCACGTGCAACAGAATACTTAATCCCCTTAAGAAGAAGAGAAAGCCAGTTGGTGGAGATATGATACTTAGAAAACACCGCCTCAGTGTTGCTGAGGACATGTGTTGCTGACACTGAGGGGGAAATGCCTCTCTGACCTGTGACCAGAACTGTCCCTTCAGAGATCTGTAGCCTACCACCTGTATCTGAACTCCACTGTCTTCTCTGAACTGCCTGGTGTGTCACCAAAGTTCTTGCTCAGAAGTGGAAGAAGTAGCATAGAGGTGAGAAGCCTTAGTTTGAGATATTCGTTTGCGTTATGTGAGGGCTGTTCCAATGACTCCAAACAATGTCTTGTAGAATTAGAGAAGTTAGAGACTCAGAAAAGAGTTACTTCTGGGCTATTCCCTTGGCAAGATCTGGCCTCGTCCTCTCTTCTTCAGAGGTTTGCTCACTTATTTCTAGGTAGGGGGCAGATGGGCTCCTAGCACTGCCCTTTTGTGTCTGTTCCATCAGGCAACTTATAGATGTGCCTGTGTGGAAGGGCAAGACAAAATTTGTGTTGCAGAATCAAGGCATGACACCATATGTTGTACTATGATACTGCAGGAACCCTACAAGCACTTACGGTGCAGGAGGAAGGTTTTTTTTCTTTGGTGGGGGGTCTGTAAGTTACATGGAATGAATCTGTCAAAACAGCATCTGCTCTGTGTAGCTAACAGCGCAGCACTGTGTATAGCTGTGTGGCTTTGGAGCTGGCTAGTGGCTGATTGTCTGCTTCATTGTTCTCAGGTTCTCCTCTTGGTTGTGAAGCAGATCTTTCCAGATTTTGAGTTCATGTGGCTGGTGGAAGAAGCAAAGAAGAATCTACCTTTGGAGCTGGATTTTCTCAATGAAGGCAGAAATGCTGAGAAGGTTGCTCATATGCTGAGGAACTTTGACTTCCTGAAGGTGAGGGAGTACATATTCTCATGCATGTATGTACGTTAATAGTCCCAGTTTATGCCTCACATTCACCTCATTCATCACCTGGAAAAACTATATAGATGGAGAGAGGAGTTCAGTCCCTTTGTGTTGTTCGTTCTAGACTGCTCTGCTAATATGGACAGCAAAGGCTAGAATGAGGCCGATAATGTCAAATAGTGTTGGGTGGACTGTGTGCATATCTCATGAGGAAGTAGGTTGCGTGAATCTTTCCTCCTGCAGAAAAGCATGTTTTCACTCTGAAAGTGAGCATACATCCTGCATACACATCGACAGCTAATGCATTCATGTTACCTTCATACACAAACGCAGCTGCTCCCATACCGCGCTCTTCCTTGCTGATACATGTACCCTACCTCTCCAGCCGTGCACAGACAGAGGTCACTGACAGATGTCTCAAGTACAGCCAGACATGCACCCATCGCCATCTCTGTAGACATATGCTCCCATCTTCAAACCTGCACACAAACATCTTCTGCTGACATAAACGAGGCACAAGCTTCCGCTGTGTGTATTCTCTAAGTACACAAGTACGATCAAGCCCATGTAATGCTGTGGCTGCAGTCACTGACATAACTGCATTTGCACATATATAAAGGCAGCAAAAAATGCACTCTCTTTTGGACGCTCCCCTATATGCACATTGAAAAGAGGTTTTAACCTCCTGTTTGTGCAGAAGTCCCAAGATGAAAGTGACGGATGCCTGAAACGAAGTGAGTTTTTGCTAGACTTCACAGGCCAATGCACCCATTTTCTCCTTGTTTCCTCCATGCAAGGACTATAATTCCTTGTCACCTTAGGTTTGGGGCAGTCCTGTTGGAGCCCAGGGGCAGGAAGCAGCCTTTCCCTTGACACAGATAGCTGAAAGCCACTGAGGCTGCGGAAGACCAAAGGCCAGTGATTTTGCTGAGTGGGCGCTTATCAGAAGAGATGCACCTTGGTGAGCTGCAGCTCTGTTGCAGCTGTAACTAGGATACTGGGAAGTAAATCCCCATGGAGACGGCCAATCGCCTTCTTGCTGGGTTAAGGAGCTATCATGATATCAATATGTGTAACAGTAACAAATGGCTTGAGATGGCTGAATAATGGATCCTCCTGTCTGACCTGCCAATTCAGAGATGTGTTCATCACCCAAAGGCAACGGAAGAATTGGGCTCTGGTATCATTAATTTTCCTAAACATGAAGGAAAGCTGAGAAGTGGATTTTGTGCTGTGAACCTGGTTGAGCTTTTAAAGCCAGAGATAAATTGTTTCCATGCACTGGCATTACAGCCAAACATCTGTGAGTAATTAAAAAAATCACTGAAGAATTCATGTGTGAGTGAGAGAGGCGTTTCCAAGAGCATCGATGGTGCTTTGTAAGCCCTGTGACTTGCCCCTGTAAATCCTGAGACAAGAATGGGTGTCAACTGAAATGATCTAAGGCAGCAAGGATGTGTGAGTCTGGAAGGCACACCACTGAAGCTGGAAGGGCTGGGGGACTGTTAGTGACTGTTAGTTTTGGAGTTGGCTTGCTTTCTCACTAAACTCTGCAAAGAGTGGACATCCAGAGAAGCTGGGAAGGCTGCTGCAATTGGGCTTATGTGGCAAGGTTTTGGTAGCAGGAGAGCTGCTGGGGTGGCCTGGCCTCTGTGAGGAGAGCTGAGAAGCTGCCCTGTGTTAGATAAGAGACAGTTCCAGCTGGCTCCAAAGGGACCTGCCTCTGGCCAAAGCTGTGCTGATGAGTGACAGTGGTTGCACCTCTGTGAGAGCAGATTTAACAAAGGAAAGAAACTGCTGCAGCTGGGAGAGAGGAGTGGGAAAATGTAGCAAGAAACAATCCTGCAGTCACAAAGCTCAGTGCAGCAGGAGGTGCTCCAGGCACACAGCAGCAGTTCCGCAGTGGCCTGTGGAGAGGCCCCTGGTGGAGCAGGCTGTCCCCCTGCAGCCCATGGGTCCCACACGGAGCAGATCTCCACGCTGCAGCCCCCCCATGGGTGGAGGAGCCCCCGGTGGAGCAGGTGGATGTGGCCTGGAGGAGGCTGCGGCCCATGGAGAGCCCCCGCAGGAGCAGGCCCCAGGCCAGAGCTGCAGCCTGTGGAGAGGAGCCCACGTGGAGTAGAGAGTGACCGCGAAGGAGTGGTGGAGGTGAAGGGCTGTGGAGTGACCACAACCCCCATTCCCTGTTCTTTTGAGGAGGGGGAGTGAGAGAGCAACTTGGTGGAGCTGTCCATCAGTGTGCAATCACCACAGCTGCAAGTAACTGAGTCCTTGCTGAGTGTGCTGGATCCTTGGCACTGATGAACCGCAGCGGCCTGGCTGGTTCCTCTGGCTTTGGTTGCACTAGGTGGACAACATCCCTTACCCTTTTTCTGTCCTATATCATTGTGCTACACCCTTGCAGTATGTGAGTCCTGAGTCTATGGCAAAGTCACGTAGGTGAGAGGAGAGAGCTGCACGGCTGTGTCTCTCTTTGCAGGATCCAAAATGTGTTACTGCTGTACTGGGGCACAGTAATGGGGGTGGATGAAGCTGCCTTAAGTCCTTGGTAAAATATACCTCTCTGATTTCTTTTGCATGCGAAGTTGAACCTGGACAGCTTGAGAGCACAATGATGTCAGGAATATCCAAAGGGAACTTCATCAATGACTCTGTTGGCAGTAGGAACTTCCTCTCAGAATTGGGCTAGACAGAGAGGCTGGAAAAGGGGGAGCCAGCCCGAGTGAAGGCTTTTCTTATGCTGCGTCACTGCCTCCCTGTGTGACACAGGGCCTCTTACTTAGACCTCACTCAGCTTGGTTTACTGCAGACTGAATGAAAAGTGCTTTGACATTTTATGCTCGTTACTGTGTCACGTTGGCAATAAGATAGTTAAGGGTCTCCCAGGGTTTCTATGACAAGCTCCTTATTTGTGACACTTGATTTTTCTCCCAGTTTGATTGCAGATGGCCTAAGTACACAGGGTTTGTCAGCTCAAATGCGTCTGTGTTCCAAGGGGCACTGCTGAGATACAATTTATGACGATGGCTTATCATTTTTAGAGCTGCATAAGTGAGTTCTGTACATAGCAAACGAGATGCAGTTCCTGTCTAAAGGAGCCAAGTGGATGATTCAGAAAGTTGCAATAGGTGCTAAACAGGCCACTTGTAGGAGCTCCAGAGCAAATAAGAAAGCTATCAAACAGTAATGGCAGAGGGAAGTGGTGAAGATTTTGTAAAGTGGGGCCTGAAATGTTGCACAAGCACTTTTTATGCTGCCATTGTATTGGTGCATTGTCCTTGCACACATTGCTGCTGCCCTGGGGAAGAGGCCTGCAGTGACAATAGTTGCATTTACCTCCCTAGTGCACAGGAAAGAAACAAGGCCTCGCTTCAGCCTCTTCCTTTTTTATTCCTTTCCTGGGTTGTGTGTGGTATGTTCTCCTTCCTTCCCCTGCCTGTTATTTAACCTAACCCATCTTTTCTTGTTTCAGGTCCCCAGGATCTACTGGGAGCTCTCAACAAGGCGTGTCCTTCTCATGGAGTTCATGGAAGGGGGGCAGGTGAATGACAGAGCGTACATGGAGAGGAACGGCATTGATGTCAATGAGGTAGGTTCTCAGCCATTTCTGAACTGGGCATGGTGGACAATGCAAACCTGATGTTGGACAGGAACACTGATAGAACGGGAAGGGGCAGAAAGGGGAGCAGCACATACAGATATGAACAGAGCAATTAATCTGAAAAATCTTGTTTCTTGTGCTCCTGGGAAAGTATATAATCCCTTTTGGGGAACACTGTCCTGTAGGATTGCACAGCTAGAGATATCTTCAAGGAGACAGATTGCGAGTGATAACCATGCTCTTATATTAAATACACCGATGGCATGTTCCAAGATGGCAGTTCCTGTTATCCTAGAGAAACAGCTTCAGCTTCTGATCTTTTTTCGTCCCTTGTCCTCCCCTCTCTTTCTTCTGCATTAACTTTCTCCGGGGCACAGGATGTAGCCTTTGTAACCCAATAGCTGTGTCTCCTTATAAAGGAGATGTAAATTACAGGCCTTAGGTGATCCTTGTTGTGGGAGTGCTGGAATCTCAGCCATGGTGGTTTGCATAATATTCTGCCATGTGTTGTTCTGGTCTGCTTTCCAAAATCTCCCTCTTTCTTCTGGATGCAACTGGGTACAGTTTTCTTTGCTTCTTGGTCCTATATTGCTGTAAAGTTTTGCTGCCCTTCATTAAATAGCTGCCAGATTCCATTCCTGGAGAACCTACATTTCCCTGATGAGTGAAATAATTTGTATGTGTGGCATGATGTCAAAAGAGTGCTGGGGATTCTTTGTTGCTAAGAGATTCTTGAGGAAAAGAAGGCATTGCTTCTGAGAAGGTCTGAGAAGATGCCTTGGGAAAGGGTTTTGAGTCATTCAACAGTGTAAAGCCACACGTCTCAGTGCGTGAGTGCTGATTGAGGCAGTGCTGCTTGCCTTTCCCCTTGTGCCCTATTGATGAGCCTCAAAGTTTCACTTGGTTGATTGTCTGTCAAAGAGGTACAACATAAAATCAATTGTACTTACTCTGTCCATACACTTAATTCTGAAATCTGAACACTTCCTCTCTCTCTGCTCTTCTTCCTCTCCACTCCCTTTCTATCCATGGCAAAATTCACGTGGCATTGGTTAGGACATACCAAAGACTTTTCAGGGAACAGGAAATGTGAGTTTGGTATGTGCCACAAGGGGGGAATGTTATGTGTATCTTCTCAGCTGCCTCCCTAAGTCAGTCTGAAGTCTGCCAAATGACAGGACTGACGACTGAGTAACCTGCCTTTTCTCTGCGTAGATCACCTCTTCCTCTGGTCTTACACCCAGCAGAAGCCAGTTAGGCTTTTTCTAGTAACTTCTACAGGCAAAAAGACAGGCACCTTGTCACGTGTTTCTCCACTGAAATACAGGAAAGTGCAAAGGTTAAAGTAGGTTTTAAGACTCTCTTTCCATTCTAATTGTGATGAACAAGCCAACGTCAGTGGGCAGTAGTGAATGACCTTCTCTTCCCAGCAAGAAGTCCAGTCCATTTTCATTAAAGGGACTTCTTAAATGACTCACCTGTAGATAGTGCAGTCTCTATTCTTTCACATCTCCATCAGGAAGAACTTGGAACATTTGGGTCACTAGTATTTCTCCTCCCTCCCAGAAGGGCATCAGAGACGTGTTTGTCAGCTGTTCAGAGGTAGACACAATTCTTTTGCTGTCTATTTTGTGCTGATGATCTTTCTTTATATTTACCAAGGTAAGTACCTCAATGATGCATCTGGTCTGCAAAGAGCACCATTGTGTGACTCGTGAGAATATGATAGCTCATATACTTTGTTATCAAGAGATTTAAAAAGTCTGGTCCATGGCAGAACTCCCAGTCAGCTCCATTCACCCAGACAGAACAACTGGTCAAAAGTGAGTTGTTTCTTTGAGTGAACATGTCTTACATAAGTCCTTTTCTTCTGCTGTATGGGCAGAGGTCAAATCTAGCCCACAGCACTCAGACACAAAACTGAATATTTCTCAATATTCAGTCTTGAAACTGGCAGAAAGGCTTGTTCTGATCTGATGCATTAGCAGGAGGACTCTTGAACAACGTTCAGATTTTGAGCAGGGCTTCCTCAAAGTTGTTGGGCAGCAGATCTGTTCTGATAGGAGAGATTTAGGATGAAAATTTAGCTCTTATTTTTGTTCATCCACCCCTTTTGTAAGGTTGTTTTGTGACATCTTGGCACAATAGGTTCCACGCAGCAAGGAAACAACATATTTTGCTGGTCTCTAAATGATGTCTAAAATGCATTAAAAAAAAAAAAAAAAAAAAGTTGTCAACAAGCTCTTACTTACAGCAAAGTATAAGCCTCAGAAGTTTTGGCAATCTGTCAGGTATATAATGTTACTCAGCTCAGTTGTAGGATTCGACATTTCTGCAGTTTCAGTACCTGTGCTGAGCTGTTCTTTGTCCCTTTTCTCTCTCTGTCCCCCAAAATTAATGATTATCTTTTACTGATTGCCAATGAAGTAATCAAAGGAGTGGATACCAAGCCCCTCAGAAGCATGTGATGGGGAATAAGGTCTGTTGTTATGGCCACAGGGAGATGGTAGGAGCCATGCACACCCCAGACCACTTCTCTGGTGAGGTGCAGCAGATGGAGACAAATACAACCAAGGTCCATTATCAGCTGCTGCTGTTGATGCCATGGGTAAGGAGCTTCATGGCATGGTGGCAAAGTGAACAAAAGGCAGTAGGCACTGAAAGGAGCATGGGGGGGGGGTGGCAACAAAGGTTTCAAAAGTATGATGTGACTTAGACAGCAATTCTGGCTTTTAAGAGATGCATTAGCTCCCTGTAAATCACCTCAATCTATCTATCTATCAACTCCTCTATCATCTTACTCCATTTTGTTTTACTGGGCAGAGGAATACGAGTCTTCACTAAGCAGGATTTCTCTTGTGTGACAACGCAGCCTTGAAAAGCAAGCTGAGCCTCTCTCCTCTAAATGGAAAGGATCCCTGAGGTGAAAGCTCCCTTCAAACCAGGTTACTGACATTTACTTAATACCGTCTGTAGCAGGATTATCATTAAAGCTGCCCAAAAGCACATTAATCTCTCTGGATCCGTCCAAGCGCTGGACTGTAATGGCATTTAATCAGAGAAGGCTTTGATTTCTAAAGACAAGTGCAAACACTGAAATATCTGCCTGTGGAACAGTTACTTATTCATGTGTAAGTGTAGCTGAAGATGAGAATGCAGCTAGGATATTGACAATGGGAGGGAAGCCTGGAGAAGGGAGTTATGAGGGAATGAGCTGGCGTGAATTTTGAGGGAAGACCAGGGTTAAGAAAGGGGCCGCTTGGAAACTGGGTTGTTCCTGTTTCAAGACACAAGTTACATGCTTGCTTGGGAACATACATTTGGAGGAGGTGGGCAGAGCAGAGAAGGGAGGAAAAATGTAGACCGAGGGGCTCTCAAGTTGTTTGTAGCATACATAGGAGGAAAGGAAGGCTACTTAGAGCAAAGACTTCTAAAGAAGACCTCAGATGGCGCGCATGCCCACTTTGCACCTCTTCTGATTTTAACTGATCCATTTAGAAAGACCTCATCCATATACAAATCTTGACATCATCTCTGATCTGCTGCATAGGTCCTCCTTGTAGGTGCTCTGACTATCTCCACCGAGGCTGCTGGATCTATGGGAGCTGTGGAGCTTAGAGGTGTGCTTGTGGCACATGCTGTATTGCCTGCAGGTAGCCAGCCAGTAGTGGCAGGCAGGTGGAGAGCTCACCATGATTGCCTTGGTTTGTGTTGGAGTCAGGAAAGGAAATGGTGCTGTGTGCTTCAGCTCACTGAGTGCCTGGTCATGGGCTGTGGATGATTCAGAAGTCAGTGAAACGTTTTGTCCAGCTGAGAAGTGAAAGCAAACAGCTAAGATACTTAAGATGAGCTACTGTGTGCAATTATTGCCATCTGTCACTTCATCCTATTGTGGCTTTTTGCTTCCTTCTGTTACTAAATGGAATCCTCACTGCAATGATATCTCTTAGCTCAATAAAGAGCTCAGCTACCTTCTGATGGTTGACAGCTTTGCAACTTGAAATATGCTTTCAGCGTGGGATTTACCCTTCTGCCAAGAGCCAGGAGCCGCTGGCTTGGGGCTGCTAAAATTTAAATGGGATTTCCCAGGGTGGAATCCTTTTGTCAGTGCAAGTATGGAAACCTCTCATGTCTCAAGTATTCGTGCTTATAAAACTCAAGTGTTAGATGAAATGGAGCGTGGAGTTCTTGGGGAAAATGGTTATTCTTGCTCTTTGCACCTGCTGATTTAGTCTGGGGAGAGGTTTCCTTACAGATTCTCCTACATTTCTTCTTGCCTGAAGCTTAATGACAGTTCACAAGGCACTGGTAAACAAGGATGGTGACCTCCAGCATTTCCAGCTTCTGAAGTATGCAAAGACACCACCTAAAGAGTTAAATTACACACAAACCCTTCTCTTACTGAAAGTCAGTCTCAAGCATAAGTGTGAATCAATTGCTCAAGAGTCTCAGCAAGATGCCTTACGTTAAATCCAAGGAAATACAACTCAACTTAAAGCCAAGGGAAAATGATCCCCCTGTCCATTTCAGGCCTGTCAGAGATGCAAATAACAAATGAACAACAACTGGTCTTCTCTGTAGAAACTTACTAAGCTAGCCCCCCAGTTCCCTGGCTAGTTAAGTCAGAATATTTCTTCCCATTTAAATGCAGTAGAAGATGGGGCATTGAGCAGTAAAATAATTTCCTTAGTTCCCAAAAGAGGGTATGGGGCATGCTAGGAGTACACTATGGAAGCCCTAAAAGCTGCTTCAGAATCTTAATGACATCTTATATGTCCAGATATCACCTTGCTGTGTTGCTAGATCAGTAGATAGCAACAGTGCTACGTTACAGAGCGCTGTGTTTTGATCCTCACAACTGCATCATAGAGGACAAAGTGTGAAATTGGATCTCCTGTGTGTGACCATCCTAATCTTCTATGGACAAGTGCCATTTCAGAGCAGAGACATACAGCAGGCTTCAGATTGTGGGTCTTCTCTATCCACAC